CCTGTACGACCAGTGGCGTGCTTGGATGCAAAAGTCACACAAAACTCGAAACCAGGTAGGAAAGTGGGGGAGGCTCGAGTGGGGGGTGCGGGAGTTGAGGAGGAGTATGCAGCCTCCATGACACTGCATTCTTATTTCGAAGCACAGGACGAGGGGATCCTGCCCTCGGGCAGACGGGGCGCGGCGAGAGGTAAGGAGGTCCTGGTGGGTGTGGACTGGGGCAGTCTAGAAGAGGCCTTCCGACCCTCAGGCTGCTCAAATGGAAGCTTTCTTATCAGTCACTTAGCATGAATGAGCACCTACAGCGTGCTAGCGTCTGGCCAAGTGCTTCACTGCATGATCCCCAACGTGCAGAGTGATCCAGACTTAGTGTGGCCTCTTTTCTGCTCTCAGGTCCTGCCGGATAAACTCTAAGGACAGGCCATGCTCCCGCCACATGCAGACGGGGGGGGGGGGGCTCGCCTCACCGAGAGTCTCTGTATACTGTCACTTTGGGGGAACCGGAGAAACACCACCAGGGGCTGGGGTAGGCGCAGTTAACTCCCACAGCCACAGATTTGGTCTGCATGATGGTCAACCTTGGCTGTACCCATGTGGTCCTCCAAGAGTCTCTTTAAATAAATGACTTGTTCAGGTCCTCTGATGGTGTGTTTGAGGCTAGTGTTTTCTGGGAGATTGGGACACCCTCCACCTCCAAACCAGTGCTGTTTTCCAGGATACAGAATACCTGTCCTAAATTCCTTGGGGGGGTATGCAAGTCTTCCACCTGCTCTCTCTGTTCCCCTGGGGAACGCCCCCCCGCCCCGAAATCGCTGGACCCCACACCTCATATACAGAGCTGATGGGAAAGCTGTAGAGGGAGAGGTTCTTTTATTTTGTGAGGCACATTGGAGGGCAGCCCGGCGGGCTCGACCTCAGCCAGCTGGCGGTCAGGGCTGTGCTAGACGCCACGGGCCTCTTTTCCCATCTTCCTCTGGTCCCTTGGGAGCCGCCCTCACTCTGCAGATTCGGCATCAAACCTGAGTTCCTGCAGAACCTCGCTGATCGCCTCCATGGTTTTAATTACCCTACAAGAGCGGATGGAAACTATAAATAAAACCCAGATGGGGTGAATTAGCCAAGCCGCACAGCTAGTGGGGAGGGGGACTATGGCAAGCCCCGAGCCCTCCTGCCTGCCGCCAAACCTCAAGCCCGGCCTGGGAGCATGCCTAGGAGGCGGATTGGCTTGGTAGGTTACAGTGGGCTCATGGGAAAGGCTGATGGGGGAGGGGGCGCTTGCCACCGGGAGATTGGGATGTGTGTGCATGCCTGCTTGTGCTTGTAGACCTGGGATAGAACTGCAGGGGCTCACAGGGGAGCAAGCGTGACTGAGGCCATGTTCAAACTCCCGAAAGCGGCAGAAACTGCAGACATGATGATGCACGTTCGGTGAAGCATGCGTCTAGGACACCAGTGTGCAAATCAAGAGTGCCATCAGAGTGCCCTCTGCGACTGGGTGGGTCTGCACTGGGGTAACCACGGTCGTGTGGTGCTAATCTAAGGGTTAGGATAAGAGGCCCACAAGGCTCACTTTATTTTCAGCTGGCGCAACTTTTCAGGATCCTCCTGTTCTGACACTCCTGGTGTCCCCATCACCTGCAACAGCGCCACCTGGAGGAGAAAATGGGAGTCACAAGGCAAAAGCCACATTGATCAAGACAAAAGGCAGATGAGTGAAGCCTGGGACAGTGGAGTGGGGGGCTGTGGGTTGCTTCTAGGGCTCTCCTGTGGAAGGGTAATATAGAATATGAACATATCTTGGAAAAGCCAGGGATGGATGGCAGGTATGGTAGGTGGGACTCAGAGCAGAGTTTGGGGTTCTGTACTATGAATTTCAGACCTTCCCCACTAGGATTGGTTGTAAAGTCATGGTAGGTGTAGCCTTGGGATCTGGTCAAGGAACTAGGAAGTTGTGTGTCTGAGTGTATTTTTGGAGGATGTAGCTTGTGGGTCCAAACAGTGATAACCCAGAGGTGGAGAGAAACAGACAGACACAGAGGGCAGGACATTGGAGCCACTGGGTTCTTGAGAGCTTTCCAGATGACCTGGAATTTTTTTTTAACTTATTATGTATAGAATGTTCTGCCTGCATGAATCCCTGCAGGCCAGAAGAGGACATTAGATCTCATTACAGATGGTTGTGAGCCACCATGTGGATACGGGGAATTGAACTCAGGAAGAGCAGCCAGTGCTCTTAACCTCTGAGCCATCTCTCCAGCCAAAAGGGACTGGAATAATTAAGCAGAATCTGTGAGGGAACTGTAGGCAGACAGGCAATAGCGGGAGAGGGACCAAATGCAGTGAGGTATGTAGCATGTGTAGAGGTAGTGGTTGGGGTGGCCAGGAACGGGTTGTGGCCCATTCCCGGCCCTGAAGGAGAGAAAGGTGGTTGTCTTACCGTGGCCAGGCGCGTTTGTTCCAGCTCCTGCAGGTTGCGCACGTGGCGAGCAAGCACTGGCTGCGCGCGAGGTCCCGCTAGTTCTGCTTCCACCGCAAGTACTTCCCGGGAGGCGGCGGCGAAGACCTGGGTCACCTCGTGCACGACATTCCGATAAAGCGGAAAGTCGTGGTGCTGGTCGCTGAGCATGTACTGGCGGTGAGCTCTGTGGCGGGTGGGGAGGATACTGAACCCACGCCCCCGACTCACAGAACACTCTCCTTGTCCCAGCCACCTGGGAGATCCACCCAACTCGAAGGAGCAAAACCAGAACCCCACAGACTGGAGAGAGTCGAGAGCTGGCTCATTTTTTGCACTCCGGGAAGAGAGGGGCTCTGGTTGCGGGTTACGCCCCCTCCGAGCCACACCCCGCTTCTCCCAGGCCACGCCCACAGTCATGTTCTGCTCCGCCTCGCTTGTCCCGGCCACACCCCCAGCCCTCCTGGTGGACTCGTTCCTTCCGACATTTCAGAGCCATCCACCGATGGCTCTGCCCCCGCCTGGCCTAGATCGCACCTCTGAGTACTCCCCAAGTCCTACAACCACGTCCACAACCCAGTCCTCCCACCCAAACTAAATAACCAACTCGGTCCCGGTCATCACAGTCCCCCCAGCCCAGCTCTGGCGAACTCCCTCAGGCCCCGGCCCTCCAGCCTGCCGGCTCACTGGTCTAGGCGGCGGAAGGCTTGCGCGCGTTCATTCTGCAGTTGCTGGATCCTCCATACCAACGTGGCGATCGGGGCGTCTCTCTACAAAGCCGTAGGACTATGAGGACGGATCTCCGAGCCCACCCCGCCGCTCCCCCGACCGTCCTGCCCACGCCTAGGCTCACCCAGGCCCACTGCGGCTCCACAGGTCTGGGGGCGTCGGCAGCAGGCGGCACCTCAGCAGTGGCGGTGAGCATGACTGTGCAATCTGGCTGCGGCTTGGAAATGGCCGCGCAGCGCCCCTGCCGACCGGGAGGCCCAGGACCATCGGGTGCGCGCACACACCTGACTGCCTCACGTACTAGTTCTAGAACTATGTGCATCCTCCGACCCACGCAACACGCCTAGGTCAAATAAGGTCACAGGAGAAATGTGCCTAAGGATGTCTCCGCTGAAGCTGCTTTTACAGGACTGGACTGAAAGCCAGCACTCACACATCTGTAACTAAAGTTCAGTGTCCATCTCTGAGCTCATGAAGTACCAAGCATACAACACAATACACACAAAAAACCCAGATCCTACTGTGTGTGAACTGTGTACAAAGACCCTGGGGCCGAGTCTTCACAAAACAGCATCAGTGATGTCTGATGCATATATGGGGTCTGCAGGCTGTTGGCAACCAGGCTCAAACCCATAGAACCCTTCAAATGCCACGATTAAAATAGCCAATTTAATCAATGAATTGAGACCATAAGAACGCCCAGCAACAGTGATATTCTCCTAAAGTAAAGGCGGGCCAGCTAGCCTCAGGGCTGCATAACTAGGGTGTGCACTGCAGCTGGAGAGGGCTGATGATCCCAGGTGTGCCCAACAGAGGGAAGGACCTAACCACATCTACAACTGGCATATGAACACTGGGTTGGGTGAGCCATCTTTCCATACATCCCAGCTGAGACTGTGGAAATGCAAGATTACATGGACACGAGGACAGAATGGGGCCCCACGCATGGGTTCCACTTTGAGGTTTCCACACTAGCTGCAGAACCTCCACCCACAGTCCTGTGGCCACACCTGTCCAGCCCAGAAGCAGCACTCACGGCCACATCAGAGGCCAGCAGTTTAGGTGTGCATGTGTAAACAAACCCACATGCTACCAGTTGCGTGTGGCATCCCCACATGCCTGTGACTGGCAAGGTTGCAGAGCATCCTGGACTACATGGTGAGATCCCCTCTCTGTGGCAGCACCCCTTCCGGCCCATCCCTGAACACAACAGTCACTTGGACACCAGTTACTGCTCCAGTCGATGGAAGGGGACTTTATTTGGTCCCAGGGTCATGGGCCAGTTATGGCCCCAGCTTTATTTGACCTTCTTTTTGGGGCGCAGGTTGTTGGTGTGGCCGCACTTCTTCTTGCGGCAGTTGACTGCACGGGGGTGCAGGCGTGCATAGCACTTGCGGCAGATCATCTTGTCACAGTTGTACTTCTGGGCAAGCTGACGAAGGGACGGCTCGATGATGCCACCACGCAGACGAAGGACCAGGTGCAAAGTGGACTCTGGTGAGAAGGACAGAAGCTGAGCCCTGCCCCTAGAGCTCAGGAAAGGCCTCCACATAACCCCAAGTAATACCTTCTAAAGAGGTTTTCTGACACTGCTGCCATAGGCCAGACTGCCCTTAATTAGTAAGGACTGGAGAGATGACTCAGTGGTTAAGAGCTCTTCGAGAGGACCTGAGTTCAATTCCCAGTACCCACGTGGCAGCTCACAACTGTCTTTAATTCTGGTTCCAGGGAACCTAACACCCACAGCAAAATACCAATGTGAAAAAAAAAAAAAGCTACAGACCGAACCAAGCTCTTCTACTTTTCTAATGTATGGAGGCCTCACTACACAACAGGCAGCAGAGTCACCATGAGGGAGCACAGGCAACAAAGGAACTGCAAGGTGAGGCCTGCAAGCTCTAGGTCCTTCTGTCAGCCTGAATCCTGCTGACACACCCTAATCCTAGGCAGGCAGAGGCTCAGCAAAAAGGAGCTACCAGCCTGGAGAGATGGCTCAGGGGTTAAGTGCACTGGCTGCTCTCAGAGGACAGGAATTCAGCTCACAACTGTTACAACTGCTGTTCCAGGGGATCTGGCACCCTCACATTGACATACAAGCAGGCAAAACACGGAAAATACATAAAATACAAATTACTGAATCATTAATTAAAAAAAGAGCTGCCAGCTGCCATGTAGTGGTGGCACAAGCCTTAATCCCAGCACTCAGGAGAGGCAGATCTCTGAGTTCAAGGCCAGGGCCACACTATGAAACCCTGTTTCAAACACACACACACCAACACACAAATTAAGATTTCATCATTTAAAAAGTGAACAGGGGGGCTTTGCCTGCTCTTCCAAAGGTCCTGAGTTTAATTCCCAGCAACCACAACGTAGCTCACAACCATCTGCAACGAAGACTTGGTGCCCTCTACTGGCTGCAGGGACACATGCAGGCAGAAGACTGTATACGTAATAAAAAAAATCAGAAAGGTAATTAAAAAAAAGTCAACAGGGATGGGTGGTAGTAGTGCACGCCTTTTATCCCAACGCTGTGGAGGAGGAGGCAGGTGTATCTGAGTTTATCTGAGTTTGAGGCTGGCCTGGTCTACAGAGTGGGTTCCTGGACAGGCTCCAAAGCTACAGAGAAACCCTGCCTCTAAAGTACACTAAAGTAAACAGGCACCATGGGTCACACCCGCAACTCCAATTCTTGGGGCAACACTGTGGGACCAGCCATGGCTAAAGTTGAGACTTAGCTTAAAGACAAAACAAAACAGAAAAAATAAAAAACAAAACAAAAATAGAAGTAGAGAGCTGGCAAGAAAAGGCACACAAAACAGATGGGCCTGGTGACATGGGCACAACTCTGAAGCCCACACAGGTGGAATGTAACTGACTCCATAAAGCAGCCTTCTCACTTCAACAGCCAAGTGACAGCCAACACCACTTCTGGAGCCTACCCCGTAACACTGTGCCACCAGTAAAAAGGCCCATTTACAATGCAAGTCAAGTCCTCCGCCCAAAAGCCAAATATTCAGGTTGCTGCCCCTTACCTTTCTGAATGTTGTAGTCAGACAGGGTCCGGCCATCCTCCAGCTGCTTGCCGGCAAATATAAGCCTCTGCTGGTCAGGTGGGATGCCTACACACAGGGGAAAATAGGCTGGCCGGAGCTCCTTCTTGGACAGCTGGGTCCACAACAATCCCTCACACAGGACTCCGAGCCTTCCACAGATCGGTAAGCACTCCATTCCACACCACCCCTAGCCACAAGACAAAGCCCCAAGCAGCTCAGCCCACCTTCCTTGTCTTGGATCTTGGCCTTGACATTCTCTATGGTGTCACTGGGCTCGACCTCAAGAGTAATGGTCTTGCCCGTCAGGGTCTTCACAAAGATCTGCATGCTGGCGTCTTCTAAGCAGAGGAAGGAGACCCATCAGTGATATGTTGCTTGTGTGGGGGCCTCTGCCTGAGCAGGGGCCCCGTACCAGTCTTCCACTCCCCCCGGAAAGCTGGTTATTTCTTGTCTACTGCCCGAAGTGCGTCCTCAAAGCTCAAACATCCTGGGGAACTGAAGATCAGTATTCCCCTTGCATTCTGTCTCAACTGTCCCAGTCACCACTACCAGGAGGGACAGGACGCCCCGCGCAACAGCATCCCACCCTATAGAAGTGCCTCTCCACTGTCCGCCATCTCAGGGACGGAACATCAAACAGTCTTCTCGATAAGGCAGGTTAGATTCGCAATAACCTACTTCTCAAGTGCTGACGTGAGAGTTGTGCACAACCACACCGATCTTTCTTGTTGTTTTATTTTCAAGACAGGGTTTCTCTGTAGCTTTGGAGCCTATCCTGGAACTAGGTCTTGTAGACCAGACTGACCCCGAACTCAGAGATCCTCCTGCCTCTGCCTCCCGAGTGCTGGGATTAAAGGCGTGCGAGCCCAGGCAATTTTTGTATCCCGGGTGACCACCAACCCATGGCACAGGCTAGCCCTGAACCAAACTCCCAGCGTATCTCTGGATAAACCCAGGCAGCGGTTCTTGGACCTTCAGCCTGTGTCTCCGCGTGCCCAGGTCCCCCGGCCGAACCCCGGTGGGCATGCACAAGGCCAGAGCGGCGCCCACGGGCCACTACGTTCCACTCGCCGGTTCCCACCGCGTCCCCGCCCCGGCCCAGCCGCTATCAGCCCGTCAGCGACGCAGCCTCACACACCAACCCGCTCGGTCGCCGCGTTGAAAAGAAAGAGGACGGCGGAAGCGGAAACCCCGGAGTCTCCTCTCAGAGCGCCTGCGCACTGAGCACTCTGTGCGTCGACGTCACAATCCACACCACGTGTCTTTCCCGTCCCAGGCTTCGCCCGGCGCCATGTTGGGTGCTGGCAAGAGAAGCCGAACGGTGGCGTGACTGGTAGGCGACTCTTCCGGGAGGAGCTACGCTACCAACGCGTGAGTGACTGACGCCCCTGCGGGAGCTTCCAGGGCTGTCTTCCCGCATTCCCCAGCCAGCCAGGACACGTTTTTCTTTTGGGAGGTGTGGTTAGCGTGGTGATGCTTGCTTGTCACAGCAGCAGACCAGCCTGGGCTACCTACCAAGCCTGCAGGGTTGCCGAATAAGCCACTGTCAAAAGCCGGCGAGTGGGCTCAGTGGGAAAAGCATTTACATCATATGGTGGAGGAAGGGAACCACTCCTGAACTGTTCTCAGACTTTAACAGGCGCGCACTCATGGAAAAGAATGTAATGAAGAAAAAAAATTTTTTTCTAGACAAGGTGTCACTGAACTCACTCAGTAGACCAGGTTGGCCTCGAACGTAGACAGCTGCCTGTTTCTGCATGCGGTGCCACCACAGCCTGGCAGAAAAGAAAAAATTTTAAGAGCCAAGCTGCGCTAGCCCTCGCCTTTAATGATAGCAGATGTAAGACCGAGGCTGGAGCATTTCTGTAAGTTCAAGGCCAGCCAGAGCTCCCTAATGAGATTTTGTCTCAAAAACCAAAAATACACCATTAGACCCTGGAATGAGGGGTTTAAATTTCTTGTGAGCTTTGTGGTGTGGCTCTTCTTTCTTGAATGTTCCTCCAGGGCATCAGGCAAAAATCAACTGTATGCTACTTGGGAAGATACCTTTTGAAAATACATTTTCCCCATACAATGTAGTCTCATCAGGGTTTCTCTCCTCCAGGCCCTCCCAGATTCTCCCTACCACACCCTTTCTTTCCCTCTCTCTCTCATTAGAAAATAGACATATAAAATAAAAACCAGGACAAACAAACATAAAATAAAGAACCAAAAAAACACAGACATAGACACACACATTAATACACAGAGATTCCATAAAAACAAAAAGTTGGAAACCATAGTATACAACTAAAAGGCAAAAATGCACAGACAAAACTTAAGACAAAACCTCTAAAACCACAATTTTTATTATGTGACTTGCTCTTAAAATGTGGTTTGTATGCCAGCAAGACTCCATGAGAGAAAACTCATTTGTGAGTGGTTATCAATTGGAGATGGCTTCTGGGGTAGGGACGGGGCGGACGTCCACTTCCCCTTAGCACTGAGGCCCAGCAGGTCCCATGCATGCTGCCAGTCTGAGTTCCTATGGCCACCGGTCACGCTGTGTTTGGAGACCTTGTAGCCTTGGTGTCCTCCATCCCTCAGATTTTTACACTCTTTCTGCCTCTTCCTAATGGTTCCCTGAACTCTGAGGGAAGGGCTGAGAGTCTCAAGGTCATTCACTCTGCACTCTGTCCTGCTGTGCTGTGGTTTTCTGTTCATGCCCACCTGCTGATGGGAAAGTGTCCCTACGGCACTCAGGTTGGATTCCCAGCAGGCTAGACTAGCTCCTGGGAAGAGACTGGCTGGCCTTGAACTCACTCAGACCCGCCCGCCTCTGCCTTCCGGGGATTAAAGGCCACCACTTCCCAGCCTCTTCACCTCTTTGGGCCAGTCATGCTTTTAATTAATAAATTAATTTTGAGTTTTTTCCCTACTAGTGTACCCCATGTGCAATGCTTGCAAAAGCCAACAGAGGACAATGGATCCCCTGGAACCAACTCCAGTTCAGGGAGTCCAGCCTGGCCCTCCCTTCCTTCCTTTCAGGGATGCTATCTGGCAGTGCTGAGGCTGGACCTTGGAACCTAGTGCCTGCTGTCAGGGCTCACCAGGGTATTATCTCCTGGAAGACTATCCAAGGAGCTGGATGGTGATGACACACACCTTTAATCCAAGCACTTGGGAGGCAGAGGCAGGCGGGTCTCTGTGAGTGGGAAGGTCAGCCTGGTCTATAAAGCAAATTTCAGGACAGCCAGGGCTGTTACACAGAGGAAATCCTGTCTCAAAAAAAGAAAGAGCAAACCAAAACAAAAATAACAAAACCCTGCATGGCATGTGGAAGCAGGCGTCCCAAGTAGCCATCAGATACAGCTTTCCAGAGCCTCCCCCAAGCTAGCAGGTGTCTAAGTAAACATCAGATACAGCTTTTCACAGACCCCCCCCAAGCAAGCAGGTGTCCTTGCCAGGGAGAGTGATGTCTCAGAAAGGGTGGTCTAAGAAAAGCTGGCCAAGGATCTGCACACCAGACCTCACAGGTTTTGGTGTTTGGACAGCCACCTCCAACAGGGCTCCCTGGTGACATTCAGAATCTGCCCAAGTACTGGGGTGTGAACCCTAGACAGAAGCAAGCCACAGCTGTGCATGATCCTGTTTAGTAAGCCTTTACTGGTAACTTCCCAACAGCATCTGAAACATCCATACAAAAATATTCAATCAGCTGTTTTCTAAGGTGGCCAGCTCCCGGAAATGGCTGCCTCTCTCTTGAACCAGAATTCCTTGCCCAGAATTCAACACGACAGGGAAAAAAGTACTCCACAGAGGACAGGGAGACCAGAGTCAAGTCAGCAGCTACCAGAAGGTAGGACAAGCTCAGCCCTGCAGGCACCTTCTACCTCCAGCGGGACCCACCATGGTGTCAGGGACATCTAGCTTTGGTCTCTGGGGACTTGCCCAGGCTGAGCTCAAGGATACACCTGTAGCCAGCCCCACTGCCCCAGCTGGGTGCATGTAGGGGCATGGGGAAGTCCTGCTCTTAGGAGGAGCAGGAATTAGGGACCCTGCCTATGATAGAATGGAGCAGCAGAGCTGACCGATTGTGACTCCAGGAAGACCACTGCTGCTCTGATCCTTTCTGGGATGGTGGGAAGGAGGCTATTCGCCATGCATCTCTTCCTCATCATCTGTCTGGCTGTGGCCGTTGATGACAGGGGAACCAGGTCGAATATGTGCTAGGTCCTCAAAGCCAGGACTGAGAGATGGTGAGACAGTGTCAGGGCTGGTGTCACAGGAGCCTGTGCTCTGCTCCGAGGTGGCGATGGTCGTAGTAATACTGGGTGGAATGGGATCTTCATCTTCATCCTCTAGGAATGAGCCCTCCGGGATGTCTGGGGAAGGGACCCCCATGCTGGTCAAGTCCCGGATCCAGGCCTTCCTGTAAGGGTGGCCCCTAAAACGCTTTCCCACCCATGGGGGCATGACTCAGCCCATTTTACGGAGGAGGAAACTGAGGCCCGGGAAGGTAGAAGGCATCTCATCGAGTTCCAGAGTGAGGCCGACTCAGAATGAGCATGCCCATCTGTCATCCGGTATGGGAGACTGAGGCAGAGCTCTGGAATACAAAGAATTTGAGGCCATCCCGCTGATCTGAAAATTTAAAAGGTGCCCTCTGGATCATGTACCACATCTGCCCTGCCTCATCTCAGAAGTCTATGGCGGAGGTGGGTCAGGAGCTCAGTGTCATCTTTAGCTACATGAAGAATTTAACGTCAGCTTGAGCTACATGAGACCATGTCTCAAAAACACAAAGTAGGGCTGGAGAGATGGCACAGTGGTTAAGAGCACTGGCTGCTCTTCCAGAGTCCTGAGTTCAATTCCCAGCAACCACATGGTGACTCACAAACATCTACAATGGGATCTGGGGTCCTCTTCTGGCCTGCAGACATTTATGCAGGCTCTGACAACCCTATAAAATGTTGGGGTCCCAGTGATATTACAGCTACAGACCCGAGAACTTGATTCTTTTCCTAGTCCTGACTCCATCTCACTCCTGCCCCACATAGTATCACTTCCCTCTGGTGCAGGCTGTTTCCCCTTCGTGAAATGGGGTGTTCAGTTCCCACCTCACAGGGCTCTTAGGGGGTGACAGCCTGGCTCATGGAGCTCCTGGGTTTGAGATGAGAGAGCTGTCACCATTTATACCTCCAGAGACCACTGCATAGGCATCTCCACCCACCACTCATGAGGCCCTGGGTGGGCACAGCTGTCCAGGCAGCCTTCGGAAGCCAGCTCTAGGCAGAAAGTGCTAGCAGCAGCGGGGTGGGATAGGGCACACTTACGACTGAAAGCCTCTGGGTGCTGCCGGGCCAGCTTTCCCTTCAGTGTCCTGTGGGGAAGGGGACAGACAGGGATGAGCCATCAGCAGTAACCTCACTGGGCACTGGGAACTGCCTGTCTCTCACAGCCCCGGGTGCTTGTCTCCCACTAAGCTGCACCCATGGCTCTCCTGTCTTTAGGATTGGTTCCAGCAGCACCCTGGGGGAGGCAGGGACTGAGATGACAGGAGGTGACCACCATCTTGCTTTCTCTTTTCTTTCTCCCAGGTGTTAGGGTCAGAGCTCTGTCCACGTCCACCTTGTTTGTTTGGACAGTGTCAGCTGGGCTGTCCAGTCAGCAAGCCCCAGCACCAGAGGATGTCATGTGCTACTACACCTGACATTTTTAAACCCCATTTTACCTTTAGTGTATGTATGTGCTTCTGTGTGGGGGTGAGCACACAGGCAGTGCAAAAGGCTGGCTCCAGCTCTCCAGAGCTGGAGTGATAGGCAGTTGAGAGCCAGCCGACAGAACCAAGCACCAATCCCTTCCAGGAACAACATACTCTATATCACTATGCATCCCCTCAGCCTCTATGCCTCATTGTTTAGTATGTTCTGAGGATTTAAACTCAGGTCCTCAGATTGCTCAGCATATACTTAACCTGCTGAATTACCTCCCTTTTTGCTTTTTTGAGACAAAGTCTTGCTGTGTAGCTCAGGATAGCCTTGAACTCACCAAGTAACCCACTGACCTGGAATTCAAGATCCTTCTGGTTCATGTTCCTGTGTGTTAGGTGTGTGTTGCCACCCCAGCTGGCTCTACCCTAGGAATAGGCTGTTCGTCATTGTGCCCTGCAGTCCTGCAGTCCGGGCTTCAGAGCACACAGCTGTCAGGTCCTGGGGATCACAGGGTTCTTGCCCCAAACCACCTGCAGAGTCAGCCTGGTGTTACTAGAAATGTGTGCTTAGAGGAAAAATTAGGAGCCTAGAGTAGCAGCACAACTAAGCACCGGGAGCGGGGGAGGCAGAGGGTCCAGGGTCATCCTCACCTATATGATGAATCTGAAGTCAGCTTGGGCTACAAGAGACCCTGTCTCAAACAATATCAAGACTGTAATAAAAATAAAAAGACCATGTGTGGTGGTGCACACCTTTAATCCCAGCACTCAAGAGGAAGAGGCAGGTAGATCTCTGTGAGTTCTAGGACAGCCTGGCCTAGAGTGAATTCCAAGACAGTCAGAGCTATATAGTGAGACCTTGTCTCAAAAGCAAAACAAAAATAACAAAGACTATTAATAAAAAGAATTAAAGCCAGGCATGGTGGTGCACTCCTTTAATCCCAGCACTCGGGAGGCAGAGGCAGGATCTCTGAATGCCAGTCTGGTGTACAGAGGGAGTCCTAGGATTTGAAGACTCAATTGTAGGTAAAGCTCATTTGTCTTGTTGGCTCTAACGAGGTTCCCCAGGCCAGAGGCTTGGGCTGAAGGAAGGTTACATGTATGCTCTAGAGCCCCTGTGGCTCTAGCTGTCCTGTCACCTGCCGTGATGAGTACACTCTTGCCCTGATCCAGGAGCCTGTGCCATTGTGAGAAGCAAACTGAACCCTGACTGGTCTCTATCTAGGACCCCATGGCCTTGTGCTCTGCCAGCGGCTCCGCCGGCCTTCAGTACCAGAAGGCCTAGCCTAGCTACCCAATGGTCACCCTCCTGCCATATAGCTCCCTCAGAGGTTGGAACCGCTTGTAAAAACAACCAGAATACCCAGAGCTGGAGAAGGCAGAGTGCAGGGTCCTAGAGGGGAGAAGAGGGGAAGAGAAGGGGAGGGCCTTAAAAGAGAGGGACCCAGATATGGGCTTTGGAGAAGAGAGAATCATGAAGGAAATGGAGGGGTGCAGAAGGGAGGGGCACTAGAGGGAAGGCAAGGTGCTTCAGACAGCGAGAGAAGGGACCTTGGAGAGGAAGGGACTGAGGGTGCAGAGGCTGGCTAAGTCCCTGGGACAGTGTCTTGGCAATGATGGAGCTTCAGAGTGGAGGAGCAGGGGACCTGCAGAACTGGATAACAGACCAAGGAAGGGGCCAATACTGTGGGGGTACAGATAAAGGTTTGTATAAGATGTGCTCTAAGGCAGGGCACGTTCTCAGGATGAGAAGGGCCACAGGGGAGCTCTGGGGGAATGGGACAACCTTATCCTTCGGAAGATGCTGTCCAGGTCCCGTTTCATGTCCACCAAGGTGCGAGTATGGTGCAGGAAGCGCTCGCTCATCTGCTGCAGCCGCACGCTAGACAGATTGTTGAAGTTCAGAAGCATCTCATTGGTCTTCTCGAAGCGGTCCAGCCTTGGGGGAGAGGGTGAGAACCCCTGCATCAGGCCTAGGAGCCCCCTTGGCCAAAGCTGAGCCCCATTAGAGTCACAGCCTCTGCATTCAGTTACAGAGCCATAGCCTGAAGATTTCTGTTGGCTGTACCAGTCACCCAACTCCTACTCACCCTTGAAAACCCATTCAAAGGTACCCTTCTGCTGCAGCCTGCATTTGCCATGGAGTTTTTCTGTGCCATGGAGTTTCTTCTGACAGGTTCCTGCTACACAGCCTGGCCAGTGACACATTCCATGTCCTTGTGTTTGTTTTTTGTTTTTGAGACAGGGTTGCTCTGTGTAGCCCTGGCTGTCCTGGGACTCACTATTGTAGTCCATGATGGCCATAGATCTGCCTGTCTCACAAATGCTGGGATTATAGGTGTGTGCCACTATATCCAGACACAAGGCTGACATATTTGTTATTTATTTACTCATTTATTGACTTATTTATTTATTTATTATTTTTGGGATAAGATTTTATTTTTTCCTGAGATAGGGTTTCTCTGTGTAATAGCCCTAGTTGTCCTGGAACTCACTCTGTAGACCAAGCTGGCCTTGAACGCACAGAGATCCACCTGCCTCTGCTTCCTGAGTGCTGGGATTAAAGGCATGCAGTACTACCACCACCTGGCTTAGCTGACATTTTTTTAAATTTTGGGCTTTTTGTTTGTTTGTTTTGGATTTGAGACACAGTCTCGCTATGTAGCCTTGGCTAGCCTGGAACTCACAGAGTGCAGGGATTAAAGGTATGTGCCACCATGCCAGACCCACAACTACTTTTATCATGTACACAGGTGTTTTGCCTCTGTGCATGTCTGTATACCATGTGCATAATGTGAACGCAGGCAGGGCCTGTGGAGGTCAAGAGGGTTCAAGTGTCCAGGAACTTGAATTACAGTTGTGAGCTGCTGGGAACAAAACCTTGGCCCTCCTTAAGAGCAGCCAGTGCAAGTCAGACACCTCTAATCCCAGCACTGGGGAGGCAGAGGCAGGTGGATCTATGTGAGTTCAAGGCCACCCTGGTCTATAAAGTAAGTTCCACGAAGGTGGAAAAAAAAAGAGTAGCCAGTGCTAGCTGGTTGGTGGCACACGCCTTTAATCCCAACACTGGGGAGGCAGGTGGGTCTGAGGCTAGCCTGGTCTACATAATGAGTTCCAGGACTGCAAGGGCTACATATTGAGACCCTGACTCAAAAAATAACTAAGTAAATAATATGAGGTGGAGAGCCCCAAGGGAAGACAGCAGCCAACAGCCTCTGGCCTCCGCATGCTTGGCAGACCAAGCCGCCAAGTCCCAGTTGCAGTCAGGGTCAGCTTGTCCCAGCGAGGGACTCTGCGCATGAGACTGGGCTCCAGGTCCTGCACTGGTCGTTGGTAGCACATGCCTTTAACCCCAGCACTCGGGAGGCAGAGGCAGACGGATCTCAATGAGTTCGAGGCCACCTTGGTCTACAAAGCAAGTTCCAAGATAGTCAGGGCTGTTACACAGAGAAACCCTGTCTCAGAAAACAGAAAACAAAACAACAACAACAACAACAACAAAGCTCTTTGCTTTCCTCCAGCCTGGGGACAGGAGCCCCTTGGCCAGCCATGCACAGCTGCAGGGCCTGACCCGGTACCAAGGCCTGATTTTTCAGGTCAGGATGGAACTGGCTCTGGAGCCAGGAACTCATTTTCCTTAAGTTATCACAACTGTTTGCTGGGGGTGGGGGTCCCTTCCCATACTGTCATGGCCTGCTCACATGTTCTTCTGGGCCAGGATTATGGCATTGACATCATCAGTGTTCACCATGCTGAGGAAGCGTCCACAGAAGACCCTCGAGGCCGAGTCCGGGGGGTCCATCTCTTTCTCCTCCGCCTCCGATGCCTGAAATGATCAGGACAGGATGTGAAGTCCGCGCTAGGGCTGGTGAGGATATCAAGAGCCCATCATGGCCCTAACAGGTACCACCCAAGCATCAGAATACTTAGGTTCGAACTTGGGGTGTTTGGGGGCCTAACAGAGATTCATCCCTAAGAAATAGGTAAGCCATCTTCCAGGCAGTGGTGGCACACACCTTTAATCCCAGCACTCAGGAGGGAGAGGCAGGTGGATGTCTGTGAGTTCAAGGCCAGCTGGTCTACAGATTGAGTTGCAGGACAGGCTCGACAGCTACTGAGACACCCTGCTTCAAAAAAATCAAAAGAAAAACAAACAAACAGGTAAGCCAGAAGAGCTGAACAGGCCTGTGATTCCAGCATTCAGGAAGCTGAGGCAGGAGGATGGAGAGTTATAAGATACCCAGGGTTAATGAGTGAGACTGTCATTCTCCACAGCTCATTCTGGCCCAAAACTCTGACCTTTTCACAGGACAGGCTGGGCAATACCCACTGTCCTCACTAGACTGCAAAACGTCACTGCACCCCCTGCCAAATTCTGCTCCTGTTTGCTCAGGTTAGGGTTTTGTATCTGGTGTATGTGGGCCATGCAAGGGTGCCATAGCGCTCACATAATGGTAGGGGACAGACCGCAGGTCCGCTTCCAGTGCAGCGAATGTCCTGAGCCATCTTCAGTCTTTCAGTGGCCAGGCCAGCTGGCTTACACACTATCTGCTTCCCCTCCTGCTATCACCGAGCCCCCTGAATGCTGGGGTCAAGACTGCTTGCCACCACACCCTTCTTGTGTTTCTGAGGTAATTACTTATGTAGTCCGTGGTGGCTTCAGACTTGTGAACAGCTGAAGACAAGCTTGAATTCCTGATCCTCCTGCCTCCACCTCAAATGCTGGGACAGTGGGCATGCTTGTCATCAGACCTGCTTTCTATGACCGACACCTTGATTATCAAGGGCCAACAGTGAAAAGACTGCGTCTTAAAGATGCTGAGGCTGACCTCTGCATATGCACATTGGAGCATGCACACACATACTCCAAACAAAGGTTTCCAAATTGGCTGTAAACTTGGTCTTGGCCAGCATGATGCCTTCAATTCAAACCCTGGGACCAACTTGGTAGAAACAGACAACCAACTCCGAAAGGGTGCCCTCTGACCTCCACATGCATGCTACAGCACATACATGCACTCACTCATGAAATATACACATAAATATGTATAGAAACCAGGCTTAGTTGGGCTGTGGTGGCACATGCCTTTAATCCCAGCATTCTGGAAGCAGAGGCAAGTGGATCTCTTGAGTTCCAGGTGACTCAAACCTGGAAGCAGAGGCAGATGGATCTCTTGAGCTCCAGGTGATTCACACCTGTCATCTAAGCACTTAGGAGACTGCAGCAGGAGGATTACTTCACACTCTAGGCCACCCTAATCAACAGCCCAGTGAGTTCCAAGCCAGCCTGGGTTACTCTGTGGGACTTGTCCTCAAAAATGAAACACAATATTCAGCTTTAAAGCTGGCTACATTTTTATCAGCAACTTACAGCTAAGCATTCTAAGCACAAGCAGTCTGCTGGCCTGGCACCTGGATGGCTGTGGCTCTTAGCATCTGGGAGGCAGGTGATCACCTCTGCAGTGCTCCAGCAAGCAGACCAAAAGAGGGAGTCACGGCACCAACCCTTCTCTGGTGTTCAGGAAAAGCCTAGGATCCTCACAAGACCTAGCTGAGAGAGGCCAACGTAGCATTAGGCAAAATTCACACACAGGAGCTGAAGAGGTTAAGACAGGAGGATCCCAGCTACATGGATGAGAGTCATGAGGGGCTATAGATGAGTAGGCCAGCTTGGAGACGCTGTCTCAAACAATGATGAGAGGCAACTGGGCACAGTGGCACACACCTTTAACCCATCAGTTGGGAGATAGCTGCAGGGGAAAGATACTCAAGGTAAAAAAAGAGGGAAAAGGAATGGTGGGGAGGAGGAGGTTAGGGTATGTAAGTACTTGGCATGGGGAGCTGATAACTTGCTGTGAGGTCGCCAGACACAGCCGTGCATCCATCTGCAACTTTGTGGGGAGACAGGAGGCAGAGACAAAGCAGCTGGAAGCCCCAAGGCCAGTTAGCCTGGCACACAGAAAGGTGAATAAGAGACGCTGTCTCAAACACAATAGAAAGCAAGCAGTGTGGTGCCTAATGGTGGGTGTTCTCTGACCTCCACCAGAAACAAAAAACATACATATTTAAGCCAGGCACAGTAGCAGAGGCAGGGAGATCTCTGAGTTTGAGGATAGCCTGGCCTATAGAGAGTTCCAAGACAGCCAGGGCTACACAGAGAAACCTGGTCTCAGGGGAAAACAAACAAACAAATAAAAAAACTAGCTATGGGCAGGGCATGGCCCCTGCTATTCACTCAAGGTGGACTATGACAGATAGATGGTGGAAGACCTCAACATATGGCGAGAAGAGTTCAGCACCAACCAGGACTTCATAGATCTTCCCAGGCACACTGGGCAATCGAGGAAGACCCTGTTTGTAGTGGTAAATGGCCTGTGACAAGGCTCAGTGACTAAAAGATGCCATAAGCCAGAAGGTTCCAGTTCAAGTCCTGGGACACATGCTAGAAAACCCAACTCCTGCAAGTTGTCTCCTGATCAGGCATGAAGGTGCGTGCTCCTCCCCCATAAAATAGGATATGTATATATAACATACATATATATTATATACATACAGATTATATATATATATACACACACACACACACACACATGCACACATATTGTTTCTTTTTTTTTTTCAAGACAGGGTTTCTCTGTGGTTTTGAAGCTTGTCCTGGAACTAGCTCTTGTAGACCAGGCTGAGCTTGAACTCACAGAGATCTGCCTGCCTCTGCCTCGCAAGTGCTGGGATTAAAGGCGTGCGCCACCACTGCCTGGCATATGTATATATTTTCAAAAAAGAAGAAAAAGACTTGTGGTTAAAGGGTAGAGTCAGACAAGTTAATAGCATCTCTCAGATGCAGAATTTTGACTCGAGATTTTGTTTTAAATTATTAGTCTTGGGCTGGAGCTGAAATGGTGGCACACAGAGGGCCAGCTTCGGCTATACATATTGAGATCTAGGTCACCCTAAGCTGTGTGAAACCCTATCTTAAAACACAGGCCTGGAGCTGGAGAGATGGCTCACCATTAAGAGCACTGGCTGCTCTTTTAGAGGTCCTGAGTTCAACTTCTAGCAACCATATGGTGGCTCACAACCAACTGAATTGAGATGCGGTGCCCTTTTCTGGCCTGTAGGCAGACACACAGACAGAACACTGCATACATAATAACTTAAAAAAAAACAACACAGGCCTGGCGTGACAGCTCATGTTTGTCACCCTAGCACTGAAGTGGCTAAAGGATTGTTGTAAATTCAGGGTTAATCTGGGCTACACAGTGAGATCCATACCAGCTTGGGATACTTAAGACTGCCTCAAAAAATAAAACAGGTGTGGAAAATGCCTGTGTTTGGCAGCAAGGAAGGCAAAAGATCAAAGCTGCTTTTTGAGTTCCAGGCCAGCATAGGACAAATGAGACCTTGACCTAAAGCAAGACAACACAGGCCAGGCGTGACAACTCAATGTTTGTAAATCTTAGCCTCTCGAGGCTAACGAGGCTAAGGTGACCGAGCGCACTTTAATGGGCTGAAGGCCAATCTGGGTTACTATCTAAAAAACTAATGACTTCCCCTAATACTTGGGTGGCTGAAGCAAGATTACCAGGAATTGGAGGCTAATTTGCACTATTATCTCAAAACATTAAATCTCCCCCAGGAATGCAAGGCTGACAGCAAGGGCTCTGCGCTTCAAGGTCACAAACAAGGAGCACAGGGCGCCCTCGCGCCCCCAGTCCTAACCGAACTCGACTCGGCAAACCAAACTCGAAGGGGGGAAAAAAACAAAAACAAAGAAAACCAAACCGGATAAGGCGACACTCAAACATGCATTGAAGCCCCGCCCCTTCAAGAGGGGGAAACTGAGGCACGCGCGGACGCCGAGCCGCTCAGGATCCGGGATGCGGACGGTCACACAGCCTGGTTCGCATCCGGATCCGCCCGTGCTACCGCTGCGCAGTCAAGGAAACTGAGGCCGGCCCGGCCGCTGAGTCACAATGGCCGTCCTTTGCCGCTGCGCACAGCCCGCGGTCTTCCGCCACCCCGCAATTCCGCCCTAGCCCGCCCCGGTTTCGCCAGCCTCGGCACCTGCACATCTGGCGGCCTGACTCGCGCTTCCGGGATGGCGCCGCGCCGCGCCGCGTTACGTCATCACGCACCGCCCTCCGCGCCTTCCGTCAAGGCGCCGACGAGCGTGCGCAACCCCGCAGCAGGAAGGGGTGGGACCACTAGGTAAGAGGCGCTTACCAGAACGTCAAAACAGTAACCAATCACAGGATGATTTATGTGCATGCGCAGTGTTCGGAAGTTGGCTTTCTAAGCCTCCTGAAAGTGGGGAGTTAATTTTTATTAAGCTTCATTAATCCTTCTAAAATTTCGCACGTCTATATAATATATTTTGAACTTTTTCGCCCCACTTTTGCCTTTAACCCCAGGGCCACCCGCGCCAGTAATTTTAATTTTTTAGGTTTATTTTACGTGTATGAGAGTGTTTTGCCCGTAGATACATAAGTGCACCATGTGCATGATTGGTGCCTGTGAAGTCCAGAAGAGGGAGTCGGTTTCCTAGAACTGAATGGTTGGGAGTCTCCATATGGGTGCTAGGAACCAAACCATGTTCTCTGCAAGAACAAGCGCTCTTAACCACTGAGTCAACTTCCAGCACCTAATTTTTTGTCTTTTTATTTATTCATTTTTTTTTTGTTTGAAAGACAAGGTGACATGCAGCCCAGGCTGGTTTCCAACTTTCCATGTAGCTAAAGTCACCACTAAATTTCTGCTTCTCCTGCCTCTATTTCCTGATATGACAGATGTATGGACCCCATGTGTGACTTTCAGGTTTTTGAGACATCTCCAGCGCAGGCTGTCCTGGTGCATACTATTGTGAGAAACAAACCCCACTCTCTAATAAAAAAGACAAGCTAGTGAAAGAGAAGCAGTTTTGATTTAGTTTTGTTTATTTTTTTGTTTGTTTTTGAGACAGGGTTTCTCTTTTTAGATCAGGCTGTCCTGGAACTAAAAGATCTGTTTGAGGGGCTGGAGAGATGGCTCAGAGGTTAAGAGCATTGCCTGCTCTTCCAAAAGTCCTGATTTCAATTCCCTGCAACCACATGGTGGCTCAACCATCTCTTATGGGGTCTGGTGCCCTCTTCTGGCCTGCAGGCATACACACAGACAGAACATAATAAATATTTAAAAAAAATACTAAGTTAAAAAAAAAAGGGTCTGTTTGCTTCTGTCTCCTGAGTGCTGAGATTAAAGGTGTGTGCGACCACCGCCTGGCAAAAGTAGTGGTTTTCAAAGTCCTGATCATAAGAACATAAGAAGCCTCTTCTTTTTCCCACAGTCAGATACTCAGAGAGTTAACAGTCTTTGTATACTTTTAGCATTATCCCCTTTAAATCCCCATTTTATTCAGGGGACTCAAACCCTTATCAAATGGATCTTCTGCGACTTGAGCCTGACTATCCCTTCTCTGATGGCGAACATCTGTTACACAGCAGACTGCTTGCAACTTGCCAACCGTCCTGAGTTTAGGAAGCTCAGACAGAAGCTGCCAGCTGGGAGCAAGAGGGTCCTAGCGCCTCATGCTCTCCATGACTCTGACGGACTCTAAGCTCATCTGACACTGAAAATGCAGAACAAAGAATTTCTTACACTACAGGTAGAGGACTGGCCTTGATCTCATGGCCCTCCTCCTGCCCCAGCCTGCAGATGCTGGCAGTGAAGGCCTGCAGCTCTGTAGCTATCTCTTGGATACTTCTGCAGTTCAAGTACCACAGGAGTTCCATGAGGCACGGGATGCCTGAAAATTTAGCTTTCTCAAGTAACCTGCTTTTTGTCTTTGTTTTTTAACTCTTTTATTATAGTATATATTTGTTTTGCCTACATATATGAACCATATATGTCTGGTGCCTGTGGCGGTCAGAACCTTGCGAACTGGAGTTACAGGTTGTTGTGAACGGCTACATGGGCACTGGAAATTAAACCCTGGTCCTCTGCAAGAGCAGTCAGTGTTCTTAATTTCTGCACCATCTCTTCAGCCCCTTTCTCTTTTCTTGACCCTTGCCTCTCACATTCTGTCTCTTTCTCTCTAGCCCCGAGCAGTGTGCTTCTTCTGTTTGTTGTTTAGAAAGATTCCCGATTCTGATTGCTGTGTCTGTATGGCTGAGCACTAACCCTGAAGTCTGCACTCTGTTGTTAGGTGTCTGAAAGACCCGTTCCAGAGTGATGTATACCAAGTGTGAAAGATGCTCAAGTCATTTTCCTAGACTTCACCAGCTCTAGCTGCCTTTCGCACTGACTGTGGTAGCACCCCTGGGACCCACTACTGCTACTGAGAGGCTGAGGTAGGAGTGTCACCACAAACCTAAGGCCAGCCTGGGCTATGAACGGAGTGAGACTTTCCCATAAGTCAGGCGGTGGTAGCGTAAACCTTTGATCCCAGCACTTGGGAGGCAGAGTCAGGTGATCTCTGTGAGTTCAAGGCCAGCCTGGTCTACAGAGTGATTTTCAGGACAATGAAGGCTGTTACACAGAGAAACCCTGTCTCAGAAAAAAAAAAATACCGAAGAGAAATGACTTTATGATATCATGAAACTATGTGTGAAGGAGATGAGCACCAATAAAGAGGCACACGGCAGGGCGGGGCCAAAGCCAGCGCTCATGGTACAGCTAAAGAGCATTGGGTGCTGGGTCAATGACATGGGTACCAAGGAAAGGTGGGTACTTGCCACCAAGTCTGACAATCTGACTTCAATCCCCGGACCACCGGGTTATGAAAGAACTCATTCCTGCAAATTGTCCTTTTGCATTCACATGTGTACCAGGGTACATGTTCCCTGCTCCAATATTTAACAAGAAATTCTGCTGGGCAGGGGTGGTGCACACTTTTAATACCAACACTCGGAAGGTAGAGACAGGCAGATCTCTGTTGATGCCAGCCTGGTCTACAGATGGAGTTCCAGGGCCGCAGAAGGATTGCTGCCAGCTTGGGCTATATGGTCAGACCTTGACTAATTAAAAAAATACAGTATAAAACATGAAAGAAAACACAATAATAAAATTAATGAATGAGTTGAGCCAGGTGTGGTAGTGCACAACTTTCATTTCAGCACT